GTTCTAGTAGTAGGTTCTAGTATTTGCAGTAGCCGTGTGCTGGTGGTTGTGGTGCTGGGGGTGGTGGAGGAAATGCTATTGCCTCGACAATGAGGAGTAGTAACGCAGGACTAGTCATGCCTTTCCTTATAGTATGCATTGTGCTCACAGTTGTTCGGCTTATCATGGCAGTCAGAACAATACGGCAAAAGCAAAGAGAAAGGCCCCCAGGACCATGGCATTCACCATGCTAATAGAGGAAATATCGAAGATATAGCTTCGGAGGAGAACCCAGCACTACATGAGTCTATAGAGCCCCTTACCCTCAACTCGTCCTCCAAAACTATACTTAAGCCCCTGCACGAAAAGCTTTTCCCCCCAATGCGCTCCCCTCGCTTGAATCTTCAAGAGTCACATGGGATGCCGAACCTCCAAAAGGAGCTTCCGGCGTGGAGTCCGCAGTGATATTAAAAGTTTATGGCTTTTGAGAGCTTGTGGGATCAAGGTTATCCTAATTACGTCTAGCAGGGCGAGGTCGATGATATACGGGCGCGGGACATCCCCGAAATCCGTGTAAAGTCCTACTACGCCCCTAGTCGCTGAAGGCCCCCTAGTTTGGGAAACTACCCAGTCAACCCAACACCCCTTAGCAGGGAGAAGGGATACATTACCAACCAGTGGGGGAATCACGTGGACAAGACAATGGAAAACTGCAGTTGGATATATAGGGTTTTTTTGGGGTATTGCACCGGTAATGGAGAACCAAATGGAAAAGAGCATGGACAATGCTATGGAAAGTGGTTTGCAGAGGGTTTTGAAGGGATTCTAGCGGGGACCTAGGAAGTTTGAATTAATGTTTAGGGTTTAAGAGCTTTGGGTTTAAGGGTTGAGGGTTTTTAGGGTTTAGCTTTTAGAGGTTTGGGGTTGAAGGGTCTAGGGTTTCAGCGCTTAGGGTTTAGGGTTTAGCCTCTAGAAGCCCAGAGCCCCGGTTATCTCCATTGTTAACTTACTCACAAAGTCAACCTGACCCTACCCCCGATTACCATAAACCCGAAGCCCTGAGTTATATAGTATAGGGGCCTGAATAATTACCAATATCATTTTGAGGTCCATTTGAGCTACCATAGACCATAATCATATAAGGAACATGGAACCATAATATTGGTAATTATTTAGGCCCCTATATTGGTATACTACACAGCGGACTCCAACAGCAGGTGCAAACTGTGGACATGTGCTCCACAAGCGTAGGCATAGGCTAGAGGTTTCAGGAAGCTCTCCTCGACACCAAGCCCTCAAACGCCCCATGTGGATGTCAGGGGGATATTGCAGGGAGGTAGGGCCCAACAATGGAGGTTTAGGGCTTAGGGTTTAGGGAGAATCACATGGAAAATGACATGCACCTGGGATACAAAGGGGTTCTCGGAATAAGGCAAGATGCTGCTTCACTGGAACCCGTGTCTTCCTACCCTGACCCTAGACCCTACATGAACTACAAACCATAGCAATAGCGCAGATATTGGGGCGAAGTCCAGGATCTCCTTGCCCCCCAAGGTTCATCACCCCCATCGTTCTGAATATTACAAGCTCCCACCGCCCTAACATGTGATGTGCCTTGTATGGTTCAGGGTTTAGGGTTTAGGGTTAGGGCTGGTGTACCTGAATCTAGTTGGGAATATTTCATGTTAGGGAGGTGGTGGGTTTTAGCTGCTAGGGAGCGGTGATTATGGGCGATTGCATGTCCTTGGCGTGGAGAGATAAACATGTACGACAGTCAGAACTGCTATACATATATATGTATATATATATATATGAGTCTTTATTAGACATACCCGGCATCCTTGAAAAGTTCCAGTGAAGCTAGTCTATTTCAGGTGGACCCCTCACCCTGTACTAGTGGTAAAACAGGAACATAAGAGGACCCTTAAAAATCACCGTTATCCTTTATAGACGCTATTATTGGGCGGGGGGTCCACCTAACTAAAGTATACCCTCAACCCTGAGGAGCCTGAGCCCTTTTCAGGGGCTGGATAGCGGCCACCTAGGAGTTTCATTTTTTTCGTAAGCACGATCCCTTCTCTGGGGATAGGATCCTGGTACTTTGAAGTGTATGTACGTAGTGGGACCCTTTTTAAACTGACTTGTGATGTTGTAGAGATCCTCCTCGCGGTATGCCTTCGTCGTCAAACGATGTACTAAAGCCCAGAGGGGCCAGTATGCTGCCGCCCAACCCTAAATCCTAAATTGTCACGGCACTTTGTGGAATTCTTCCGGACGTTATGCATCATATATGGGTTGTTCTCAAATTTTTTCTTTTTGGTTATCGAGTATATTACGGATATCCTAGTGTGGGTTTGATGTATACTGGGGATCCTCAGCGGCACAAGATTTTTCATCCATGCAGCGCAGGGCCTGACCTATGGCTAAGGGTTGCTAGTTCTTAGTAGGGTTTAAGGGAATAAAATCCTTACATGACCCTTAATGATATAGTATATTCCCATATTCCCTACTAAGCCCTATTTATAGACGTATATATATATATATCTATATTGACTCTATTACATAGTAGTAGTTTCCATTTTCTTTGTCATTATCCTTGCATAATCCCCATACTTTCCTGTATTCCCTACGAAGCCCCAGTAAGCCTAACTTATGCCTCAGGGTTGATAGGATAAGCACTAAGCTGGAAGTATGGACTACCCAACCCCGGGATGTGCCTCTTTCCGGGCTGCTATGAAAGGAACCTAAATTCACTTACCATAGTATGGGTATATAGTAAATAATGGTGGTTCTTTGTTGTTGTGTCCGCAATCCAGTTTTTCCTGCTTATCCTAGAGGCTTTAGGCTTGAGGGTTTAGAGTTTAGGCTTTAGGCTTTAGGGCTCAGGGAGTTTGTCCTTGCCATACGAGAGTTTCTGTGGACTATTTAGTAGTTTCCATTTTCTTTTCCAGTATCCCAATATAATCCCTATATAATCCCTATAAACCTTATAGTTTCCATTTTCTTTTCCATTATCCCAATATAACCCCAATATATCCCAATATATCCCCTACATAATCCCTATAAACCATATAGTTTCCATTTTCTTCCAATATAACCCCAATATGACTGTAATACAACCCCAAAAAAACCGGTTTCCATTTCATTTTCCATTTTCTTTTTCATTTGATTCTCCAGCTACAGTAGTTTCCATTTTCTTTTCCATTATCCCAATATAGCCCCTATTATAAGGTAGTAGTTTCCATTTTCTTTTCCATGATCCTTATATAAGCCCTATTATAATGTAGTAGTTTCCATTTTCTTTTCCATTATCCCTGTATAGCCCCTATTATAATGAAGTAGTGATAACCCCAATATAAGGAAGTGTCAAGGGCCAGCTTCCTGGACCGGTCTTCACACTCACAGGGACCTCGGACCGTTGCGGACCGTTTTTGGAGAGTTTAGGGTTGAGGGTTCATTACAATGAAGTAGGGGTGTGGGGCGGGGTTCATTTTTGTGTCTCATTTTCTTTCATGTTTCAGCTTCAGGAATTTGGGACCCAAGTGATTGTATGTGTTTTTTACGTCTTAAGGCTTCAGGTTTTTGAGATTTAGTGACGTGGCGCTGCAAGGATTTTGGGCTTAGAGTTGGACTGCGTAGGGGGGGTCCCATTTCCGGTGGAGTTTTAAAGTTATGTGTTCCATTGCCTTTCGCTCATCCTCTCTCTTCTCTTGCTTCACGAGGTTTATGACTGACTTGTTCGTTGCTTCTTTGCGCTTCAGATTTTGAATTGCAAGACTAGCGGGGCAAAAGACGCCCTCTCAAATCTCGAGCTAATCTACCCAAAGGGTTCATGTAGGTACAAGTATATACTTTGGCCCTAAAGTAGGTATATGGGAAACCCTTTGGGCCCAAAGTATATACTATATACCTACATGGACCCTTTGGGCTGCAGAGGGGTGTTGTCTACAGATTGTCGTGGGCTTGTCAGATCTTTACGCCTCATCTTGTTGCTGGCTGTTCAAAGGGACTGGACCAGGAAGTGCAAGCCACGACCTAGGATGATATAGGGCTAATATTGGGTTTATATTGGGATAAGGGAAAAGAAAATGGAAACTATAAGGTTTATAGGGATTATGTAGGGGTTATATTTGGGTCATATTGGGGTTACTTTGGGATAATGGAAAAGAAAATGGAAACTACGAGGGAATGACAAACAGATTTATAACTGCTTTATTGGGGGATTATAAAGCACTAGCATAGGGATCCCTTCCTCGTACCATCAGGCAGTTTCTATTCAACTTCTGCGGTCCTTGTGACAGTAGGATGTTGCATGACAGGTCTCACACCAACAGCCGCAAAAAGAGACTTTCCTTGATATTAGTAATAGTAATCGCAAGAGTAATAGTAAGCTGAGTAAATAGTAAGTAGTAAATAGTAAATAGACACAGTAATAGGAATTGGAATATTCATTGCAACAGTACTAGTAGACTGTAAATAGTAACTAGTAAATAGTAAGAGTATCAGAGGAAGAGTAATAGTAATACTTAGACTGATATGTTGCGCTTCTGCCCGGATGAGAGTGCATGGCGTATCACCGGCTTATTGGGTTCGTTGGCAATCGTTTTCAACCCCAGTAAGAAATGTAACGAAATCTGGCTGCCATGTAGAAGCGTGGCAACCCTGGGCCCCAAGCGCCAAACAGTATTTCAACCAATCGAGAGCCCTGTTTCGCGTCCTTGCAAAGCGCGGCTTTTCGAGGTTTCATGTAAGTTGGAGTTGATCCCCTGATGCTCAGACCCTAAACTGAAAGTAACCCTGAAGCTTCTGCGGGGTATCTTTGATAGCAACAGGTACTGTAGCCATCATAATCGTAATCGTATCAGTAACGGTGAGAGTAATGTTAATAGTATTAAAGAATACTCAGAGCGATAGACTTAATGCTTGGGGCTGCTTCTTTCAGATGCGACCATTCAGGCATGTAAACCTTGCACATGAGTTGTTATGCTGGTATAGCCATGCTATGCACCTTCCATGCTGAGGCCATACCCTGTATCCGGCGACGAATTGGCATGTGGCGTGAGTGACTCGACTGGAAGTTCCAAAGGCCCCTGAATGACATTCCTTGCATCACGCCTGGGGTCCTTGTGAAGCTATTGAAGACATCTGTGAGCCATCTTTGCACACGCGCTAATGATTAGTAAGCAGGGGCCCTGTCTTGCCACAGTGGAGGGGGTGCCTGGAAGTGCCGGAAGTGCCGAAGTAGCTTGGACCAGTTGTATATTATGCACGGGGTGCGGTGCATTTCTTCATCAGTTAGCTCCCACCTTACGGGAGTTTTCCAAAAAGATCCCAATCCACAATTTATAACCCCTACATACCCTCAGGTCACCTAAGGAGGGCGTGTTTTTCTTTATGACGCTTGCAGCATGCTTCTTGCCAAGACTTGAATTGCCCAAGCTTTTCTCGAATCAGTCCTTGCGTGAGGTTCTGGTCCAAGGAAGTACGTAGTCATCTCCCAAAATTGTACCCAAATATAGACCCCAAAGCAATATAATCCTAATTACTGGGACCCACCCCCTAATTCTAGGAAACCTTATGCATCCCTATATAACCCTATCTAGCCCTTATACAACCCCCATAGCCCCCCCCCCCCCCGGTACCCCTCTTTTGGGGCATCCCTAGTTCAGGGAGACCCCCACATAGTTCCGAGGATCATACTCCGAGAGCTCACGAGATCCGGATGGCAGTAGAATCTTCCTCTGTAACATCTGGTCAAACTACTCGGGCTTAGGGTTTAGGGTTCAGGGTTTGGGGTTCAGGGTTTATGGTTTAGGGTTTAGGGTTTAGGGTGCGAGCTGTAGTCTAAACTCTCTTAAGGGGGGGTTATATTAGGGATTATATTGGGCGTACTAT